CTACTACTTCTCAGAGGAGAAAGCACAGACCTAAAATTTCAGTTGATAGATCCTCTGAGCTCTTTTTCCCATTCCCTAAAAAACAACTAGAAAACTAAGAAGACAGTGCAAAACATTGGGGCAAAAATTATAGAGCCTCCTGGGGAGAAATCAACCTAGATTGTAAAAGCATCCTCAGATGACTAAGGCCTTAAAGACTTGGCAGGACCAGAGATGAATGCCAAGATTATTAAGATTCCCAGAGTGAGAGATTTAGGGCTGGTGATGTGGCTCAGTGGTAGAGTGCTTGTCTAGCATGCAATGCCCTGTATTTCAGAGTCAGAGATCCAGCATTTAATCCCAAGTTGACTGCTATTCAGAGATAAGGATGTTGATAGAAGCCCAGGTGGAAATATTACTAGATAAAGCACCACTCTTTGGTGGCAGGAGAAGGTGTATGTATATTATATATATAATATACATATAATATATATTCAGCATGACTAGGGAGGGGAAGGAACTTAGTAAGGCAAAGAGAAGCAACAAGGATTGACAATTTACAAAATGGGCTGAGTAGCATGTGGGGGAAGTCTTATCAGGTGGAAAGTCTGTCTTGGGAATGTAGCTATCAGGATGGGAGCATTCAGGGAGAAGGATGTACAAACGCATTTCACAAGCCATTCAAAGAAGTAACAGTATATCTCAGCCTTTCAAAACTTCTCCTCTGTTTCATTTGGATTATAAGAGATGCGTGACATCCTAGGGCTTATTTCTTCATGCTAAAGGATATTTGTTTGGGGTATGTGAAGCCCCCACTATCCAGGGTGCCCTTCCTAGGAATACAGGCTGTGTATTCTCCCAGCTGGAGGACAATGCCCTATTTAAACAAGTCAGACAAGCCACTGCCCAGGTTCCCTTGGTGTGCTGGATTCTTTTCAGAGCTGGTTTCATTTCCTCAGCAGGTGTGTTGGGAACAGGAGGAGTGGATTGAACTACTTTATTGTTCTCCCTGAGTTGAAATCAGGTCGTGACAACAACCATGACCTCAGACAAGTTCCTCTCTGCAGGTTCCATTATCCAACCCCAGGAGCACAACTGGAGGGGAGGATAACGGGCTTTCAATTGTGAGGTGAAGAATAGAGGAGAGGACTCACATTGAGGGCAAGCGTCATGGCACATGGATGGCTCCTGCCGGGGAAAACAAAGGAGGTCCCCATTTCTCCTTCTCTAAAAGTGGGCCAAAGGAGAAAATGGAAAACCCATGCATGATGGCATTGAAGGTCTCTGGGGAAGAGCTGGTTCTCAGGCTTTAAAGAGGGTTGTAAATATATATGGCTTTAATTGTTTTGGTACAGAGAATCAACATGGGGCCTTGTGTATTCTAAGCAAGCTTTCTACCATAGAACCCTAGGGCCAGGGGGGCAGACATATAAAAAGTTTCAATCTCCATTCTCCACCAAAAATGACATTTTCTTGACCAAAGTTATAGCACCGAGAAAGAAAATGTGAAGCTACCAGAAAAAAAGAGGTGGCGATGACGGTGACGATTTAATATTTGAGTCATTAGTATTTTTAGTGCTGTACTGTTTCATGAGCAGTGTTCCAGGTTGACCTCAACACAGCTTTAGTTTTTAAAATTTCACCTCTTTATCTTTATATGTATAAGTGTTTGTCTGCATGTATGTATGTGCATCCATGTCATGCAATGCCCATGGAGGCCAGAAAAGGGTGTTGGATCCCCTGGAACTGAAGTTTTGGACAGTTGTTAGCCTCCATGTGGGTGCTGGGAACTGAATTCAGGTCCTCTGCAAGAGCAGCCAATGCTCTTAACCACTGAGCCATCGCGCCAGCCTCAACACAGCTATATTTTATACAAAGAAGAAATTATTGTTCTCACCAGTATAGCTGGGATTTGAACCTAGATCTCAGTTTAGAGCTTAATTCTTAATGACCCACTGATGAGCCTAGAATCTACTGTAGTGATTAGCAGCCTGTGACTTTTACCACTAGCCTAAAGAGGAAAGAAGATTATAAATGTGCTGTTTTCAGAGAGATGAATCTTAAAAGGGGAGACAAAAATCTCACCTGCAAACCCAGAGTGGGTAGAGCAGTTGGGAGTGGCCATAGTTCATGGACACATTCACGTAAGACTCTGGGTCTGTCCAGTCCCTAGAGTGGAGTCATCTTCCAAGTCTCTGCAGGCATCACAGCAATGTGGGAAAATTCTCCCCTCTCTAAAAACAGCCCTGTCACAGATGATAGATGCTCAGGTAAGATCTCTGCAAAGTTTTCTCTTTGATATTTCTCCAGTAGCATTTCTAGTTCGATGATAAAAAACATAAATAAATCACCAAGCAGAGGGATAGTAGAACCTGAAATTCAGTCCTAGGAAATAGTCACTCCAACATTATTTAAAAATCTGGTTTCAAGCTGGGTGTGGTGGCGCATGCCTTTAATCCTAGCACTCTGGAGGCAGGGGCAGGTGGATCTCTATGAGTTCAAGACCATCCTGGTCTACATAGTGAGTTCCAGGCTAGTTGGGGCTACAGGGAGACCTTGTCTCAAAAAGACCAAAAAAAAAAAAAAAATCTGGTTTCAAGGAAACTATAATCTTGCCTAAGCGGATAATCACTAATTTAGACTCAGTTCATATTTTAGAAGGCACAAAATTGTCATCATATCTTTATTATTACCACTCAATTTTGAGAAATAGAGATTCTTGTGTGTGTGTATGGGGGAGGGGATGTAGTACCCACATCCTGCAGTGCCTTTGTGGAAGTCAGAAGACTACTTTTTAGGAGTCAGCTCTCTTTTACCTGGTTTTGAAGCAGGGTCTCTCTTGCTTTTTCTGTCACTGTGCTGCATGCTCCAGGGTAACAGGCCCATGAGCATCCAGTTTATTGTCCTACCTCTGCTTCTGATCACATGGTGAGTGTCAGGAACCACTGAAACTGCATCCAGCATATGGGATCCAGGGACCCACTCCAGGTTTTTAGGCTTGTGTGGCGAGTGTCTTTACCCATGGAGCCATCTCCCCAGCTCTGTTTCAGCAACTCTACAGTTACTTGTAGTTTGTCGACTAGGACATAATGTGGGTTATCAATAAGCCAGTGATAAGGTTAAAAGGAAAAATGGGGATCTAAAGAACAACCCATGGGAGCTACTATGTCAAGCTATCTTAGGATGACCTCTGGGTAGTCAGATTTCTGCTTTCAATCTGGACACACTGTTGATAAGCTTGCAAAATTATAGTGTGTCCAAGTCCTGATAACTGGCTCCATTCAAGCCTCTCTGCACCCTATTTCCAACCCCACCCGCATCAAACTCATTCTAACTTGAAGGTTATAGAGTCATCAACTTACAGCTCAAATTTTAATTTAGCCAGCCCAAGGCTTCTCTAACCTTGAACTGGAAACACAGTCATCCATCAGAGCTGTTCTAATTTGTTACCATAAATGAAGACTAAATGTCAAAATCAGAACTTAGGCATTGAAACTCAAATACAAAACCAGGTGTGGTAGCACCCACCTTTAATTCCAGCACTTGGGAGGCAGAGGCAGGTGGCAGTGGATCTCTGTGAGTTTAAGGCCAATCTGGTCTAAATAACAAGTTCCAGATTAGCTGGAGCTACAGGGAAACCTTGTCTCAAAAAGACCAAAAAAAAAAAAACCACAGAGACACAGTTCTTGGGCAATAAATCTGCACCCTGTTCTTTCTCAAAGCTGGGTCAGTCTGCTTCTATCATCACTGGTGTTTAAAGTCTAGACCAAACCAGCAGTTTTAGCATCACCTGGAGGTTCTAAGTCAAGGTCTCAGGACTCACTAGACCCACAGAGTCAGAGCCTCTGCGGATGAAACCAGCCACCTGTGTTATCCATGGGTAAGTCCTCCAGTCTGTCCTTTCTTAGACACAAACATTAACAATAGCTGCATTTTGAAATCAAAGAAAAGTAGCTGAGAAGGATTGTGCTTAGGTGGGGGTGTGATGAAGAAAAAGCTCAGCTGGGGAGCGCAAGGTAGGAGAGACATTCAACTGAGTGCCGCGTTTGGAGCAAAACAACTTTTTCCCTTGTCAAGGTACATCATTAAAAACTAAAAAATAGTAGGTATCTATTTTCCAAGGGACAAAACGATGATAGCCCAGGTTGTTTTCTACTGTAATAGTTTTGCTAGATTATCAGTGATGTTGCTCGTTCATGAATTTGCCTACTGATATCCTGCTTAGGGTTTCATATGTCTTCAGAAATAATGCAAACTGCATCTCACTCATCAGCAAGATTATTCATACACACACACACACACACACACACACACACACACACACCCTGCTATAAAGTCTGTCAGAGTTTAGGCATTGGTTTCCTGTCTGACTCTTTGTTATGTTAAAACTTTGAGAACTCCGTCTTCTGTTTACAGTTTCCTTGCCTGGAACACATGTCATGCAATGAGTTGAATGGGGGAACAGATACCCTAGAATCACTTTTGGTCTTCTCAAGTTTGCTTATTTGCATGCTTAGTTGAACCAGGAATTGATATTTCCAGGTGATCGTGCTATACTGGGTTTCTATGACGTGACTTGGAGTATGACTCATAGTATCTGACAGAAGGTAACAGACACCACCACATTAAAACCTAGACTTTATTACATTTTAATAATCTTTTTGCTTATGGTTTACAAATATCACAGAAAACAAGTGTATTATTGACATCAAAAACATTTCAGCTGATTGTTATTCCAACAGGCACCTGTCTACTTCAAATACTACAAAGTTTTTTTTTTTGTAGGGAAGTAATATTTTTACAGTTTACTAAAATTCAGAATTTACTAACACTAATCATGCCTGCGTTCCATCACAGTGTCAGAAGCAAAAAGAAAATTTCAATGCAAGATAGCTTCATCTTTATATATATATCTAAAAATAAAAAGTACAACATAAAATTAATAAGATAAAAGACATATTCTTTGCCTAAGATTAAAAAATACCTAATTTACTAATCATCTTAGAGAACATGGAAGAAATAAAACATGACCACATGGGCCTATTTTGGAAGGAGTTGAAGAATCTCAACTTATATTTTAATATTTTGTTCATAGACAGCTAAGAGTAAGAGAGAAAGCCAGCCTAGGACCAACCCAAGGTTCTGTAGGAGAAACGTCATCCAGGGTCGTTGTGTTTGAACATGAGTCATTTCAGGAAGCTAAAAAAAGAATGAAAAACCAGAATAAGATCCAGATATATTCAACTGCTGAGAAAAGTTTGGTGGGAAAGCATGAGTGATTCTGTTATTCAGAACTTAATAACCTTTAAAATTCCCCAAATAGCTACCCAGTGCTTAATACCTATTCTTGCCACGAGTTGGAAATGGAGCCACTTCAGGGTAGTTGGAAGGGCTTGCACACTGGCAGAAGACTTAAAAACGACACAGCTGTCAACAGGACCCAGCTCTGCTTTGTTTTCAGAAAACGTTTAAATGTGAAATAGATGAGACATCAAAGTTACGATTTCTCCATTAGGCTTATGAAGCTACTAAGGGCACCGACTATTGCAAAGCATTTGTTTATTTCCTTCCAGAGATTACCAAGGTCCCCGTGACCTTTAGAACAGCAAAGACATTTCCTGGGACTGCATTTTATTCCCAGAGGGACAAGTAGAAATGACTTCCTGTCAGTCAAATGTCATAGCAACGTTTACGTGGAAAGGTACACTCAGGCCACTGTGGGAAGGGCCCACCCTCACAAGGTCAGAGCCAACACCGTGGCATGGTCATTTCCGCCAACTTGTGTAGATGTGGAGAGACTCCAGTCCTTGAGGGTTAGGGATTTAACAGTCTTGGCATCACTGACATTCTTCCCCATCTTTGCTTGTTGTAAACCTCCCCTTGTCTGCTGTCGGATGCTCAGCTATGTCCCTGCCTTCCACTAGATGGCAGCTACCTAGATGTCCTGGGCACCTCTACACCCAGTCAAGACAGTCAAAAATGTCAAACAATTTAAATCTCCCCTGGGAGATAAAGGTCACTTCTGGTAGAGACTGGTGGATTATACTACCTACCAAATAAAAGATTTACATAAGATATTCAAGAGTTTCGGGTTTGTGGAAATGAGAAAGAGGCGGACACATTTTCAGACTCCTGTAGCGAAAGATGCCAGGTCTGTTGGAGCATGCTTGCAGTGGGGATTTCTTACTTCTATGTACGTAATTCAGTGGGGTGAGGTTCTAGATTATTGTGGTTGCTTCTCACACCTCAGTGATGAGTGAATTAAAGACAAATTAGAACCCCAAACTGCAAGCCTAGATAGGTGGCCTTAAACAAACTTCGTCCTGTTGGTGTTTTATGCCGTGCTTAAACATGCTACTTGAGAGAAATCTTGTATGACCCATTGTGATGGTTACCTTTGTCAGATTGACACAGACTAGAATCATCTGGGAAGAGGGTCTCAAAAAGAGATTGCTTACATTGGGTTTGCCTGTGGGCATGTCTGTGAGGGGTTGCTTAATTAAGTTAGTTGACATGGGGAAACTCCTTCACTCTGTGAGGCCCCATTCCCTAGGCAGGGGATTCTGAGCTGTATAAAGGGAGCAACTCAAACTGAGCACAAGGGAGCACTATGAATTCGCTTCTTTCTCTTCTGCCTTGGACAGTGGACATGAAGTGGCTAGCAGCTCCTGCCTCAACTTCCCCACAAAGATGAACTGTAACCTAGAATTATAAACTGGAAGAAGCCCCTTTGTTCTGTAAGTTTCTTTTTAGAGTATTTTATTAAATGACAGAAACAAAACAAAGATGCCCACCAATTATTATAAACTCAAAATAACATTTTGAAAAATCTCCAGACTAGGAATAATACATAATCTTACACCTCTAGATTTGTCATAAATGGCAGCCAAAGGGGGTCAAAGAATTTAGTTTAATTTATATTTGCATATCTGTATACTTACAATTATATTAAACATTTGACTTATATATAACTTTAGCAAATTGTATAGTTAACAACTGAATTAGGATGGATATTCCTTGTTTTTTGTTTAGTGAATGATCATCAACTATTCTGTTGGGAAGAGTGTTTTGGTTTCTACTACCTTGATATTAATCTACATTTATAATGGACAATAGAAATATTCAGATCATAGTATAGTTTATATGTATAGCAGACAGTACTTATTCTCAAAAGTTTATATTTGATGGTGTTTTTAAAGAATTAACAATATGAACTGAATTTTTCCAGTCTCTCTGATTGCCAATACTTTTAAGCAATTTTGATAGTTAACTCTAAGACCAGACAACAAAATTCTATCACAATTGTATCATCTGAAGTCACTTAATAGTTCACATTTTGAATAAATTCCAAATACTAGGATGAGGTTCCCTCTCCTTATTTTTCAAGCAAGATAATTGTCATTTATTGGATATCACTCCAAAAACAACATTCACTTGGAATATAGTGACTTCAGTGGATTGGGCAGCAGTTTCTTGTTTCATTTAATCAAAATATTTAGTTACCTTATAACAGGGGGACATTGCCCCTACTAGACACTATAGGCTATTAAAATCCAGTGGCAGAAATGAACTCTCTCTTTTGAAGCTGTTGAACAGGGGTGCCATATACCTTCAAACATTACTGGACATTGCCCCTGTTCTTGGTTACCCACCAGAAATTCACAGTAAGACCCTATTTCTGAAGATACTACGTACACATTATGGAAAAAGGAATAGAGAGATTATAAAAGCTGGAGGAGGTGGCTGACCACAAGGAAATAGAGTTTTTTCTAGACAGCTGGTCAGTTACTCATATGAACTTGCAACAATGGTGACAGCATGCCCAAGTCCCATGCAAGTTCAGGCCAGACACAATCCCAGCATAGACATGGAGAAGTGGGTAAGAAACCCCAGCCCCACTTGAGGAGGTATTGGCAGCAGATGGCTGAAGGGAGCCAGTCCTGTTTAAACCAGTAGGTGAACCACACTGAAGAACATTTGGGGATACAAATTTAACTCTATAGGGGTGTGTGTGTATGTGTGTGAACATATGTGTTTGTGTATTTCATGTACTCTAATATATACTATATTAGATATATTTGATATATTATATAGTATAATATATACATTAGAGTGAATGAAATTGAGGGGTAGAGGTAAAGTGGTGCAGACAGGGGAGGGGATCTAAATAATATCAAAATACATGAGATTTGTCAAAATTCAATTTAAAAAAGAGTAAAAAAATATTTGTCTCTATGTCATCCACTCAGGTGTGTTTTAGAAACTCACCTGTCCCTTTAGGTCTTTTACAATGTTCCAGTTACAGGTCTTATGTGACACCCTACTTGCTATTCATATGCATCCACTTCTACCCTTCTGGTGTTCCCTGCTTCCCCGAGTCCTCCTAATTCTGCAAGAAATATAATTCTCAGCTCCTTTAGTTATGTGGAAACACTAGCATAGGGAGATAACGGCTCACCCACAGTCACAGAGATATGATATTAGAACTAGGACCAGCACCAGATCAGCTCATGGCAGAAGTTCAAAGACCAGCCCTTTATCTGAAATTCACCATTATCTATTATGCAAACACATATATATCATTGTAAATAGAACAGCAAATACAAGTGCTAAAAGTGTCCAGTTAGATAGAAAGCCATCACTCCATATAAAGGAAATAGAATGAAAATATGTGGTAAAATTTACAGAGCCTGTGAAGTCTTTGACAGATAAATCTCACAGCACGAACACTGTATTTTGAAGGCATTAAAATCTATAGAAACAGACTAACCTTGTTAACCTGCAGATGAAGAAACAATGAAAATCACATTTTTCAAAGTTTCAGATTTTCATCCTTAAATGGAAGCTTTAATTTTAATATGGGTGACCCAACCGAACTTACCATGTCCACTTAATAGAATAGTTTGGTAAGAAAATGCAACTGGGACTGAAGAGATGGCTCAGCAGTTAAGAGCACTGTCTGCTCTTGCAGAGGACCTGAGTTCAATTCTCAGCACCCACATCATGGCTAACAACCATCTGTAACTCCAGTTCCAGGGAATCCAATGCCCTCTTCTGACCTATGTGGGCATTACATAACATGGGTGTACTTACATCTATGCAGTCAATACACTCATACACACATACGTGCACACACACATATATTTTTAAAGCAAATACAACTGGACTTGCTTTTGAGACTACTCTTGGCTCTCTCAGGATGACGACGGGTAAACATATGAACTGCAGCATGTCTTGAACACATATCAAAATATCAGAGAGTCCTATGGAAGAGAGATCAATATGAAATGCCAAAGGTCAAGCCATATCTGATTATAGCTTGGCAGTTTTCAGACTCTACCCAGGACTTTCCCCATTTCAGTCATTAATTTTTGAAAGAAATAATGACAATTAATTTTCAAGAGCATATATTTGTCCCTGTTTCGTAAATTCTTGACAAGAATTGAGATCCCACAGCTCTACCCCTGGCTTCATTGAGAAGTCTCCTTTCAGTCCAGGGCAGTTAAATTCTGTTACTGTACATTTTAAAACACATAAAATTAGAGGAAATAATGAATAGAGTATATTATCACTGAAGTATAGCTATAGAAAATAAAAGAATTTTAGCCCAAAAGGTCTTGCCCAGGAATCTGATAAGGAAATTGTTCCTTATATTTCTGCAAGAAACTCTGGAGCATTGAAGTAGTAATTAACTTACTTTCTACTACTGTGATTATCAAGTTGCCTGATAGAAATCAGTATATCACACTCAAAGAATTGTAGTTTTCTAGAAAAAAATCTTTACCTAAAAACACAGTTCTTTTGTATAGTGTGATGTTTAATTTTAACTGTCAATTTGACTAGATTTAGGATCAGCATGAAAACATACCTCCTGGGTATGTCTACGAGGGTCTTTTTGGAAAGGTCTAACTGAGAAGACCTAACCTGAATGTGCAGCAGCATCCATGGGCTGCGGTCAGGGCTGAACAGTGGGGAGAAAGCAGGCAGAAGGCCAGCCTTCCTCTCTCTGCTTCCTCACTGCAGATACCGGGACCAGCTGCCTCACTTTCCCGATACCTCGTCTTCTCCAGTATGACAAACTATACCCTTGAACTGTGAGCCCAAACAAACCCTTCCTTCTTTAAACTGCTTTTCTCAGGTACTCTGTTCAGCAACAAGATAAGTGATTAGCAGTCTTCAGTTTGGGGTTTGTTTGTTTT